AGTGTTAAAAAAAATGTTACTAATATTAACAGGGTAAATTCATTATATAAACCCTTGGGTAAACTTAATATAAAAATCATGAAAATTGACTGGGATATCAATTAGAAGTTTCCGGGTCCTCACATCATCTATTTGTATCTTGTGACATTTTTAGTGGTACCAATAAATTTGACAATTTATACCAAAAAATAAATAAAAATACAAACAATGAAACATAACTTAAATAGAAACACAATGCAACAATTATTAAGATCAACCAATCGTGACAACATTATGTTGGATGACATTGATATGGAACTGGTAAGAAGAAAGTATTTTGGAATTGCTAATAACAAAAGTAGCAGTGGTAATAATGATATTAACAATAATAACAATGATAATATGATGGGACATTCAGAAATGATGGCATCTTGTACAAGGCTTTATGATCAGCTAGATAAAATATCTAATTTACTTTGTGATTTCACTGAATTATCCAAAACATATCTTAAAAAAAATTCAAAAAAGTTGATAGATTTACAAAATAAATGGTCAAAAAATATTTTAAAAATGGAAAACTTAGTTAAGCATTTGAAAATTTTAGGTTATGATTATGCTATACCACAAGAAATAATAGATTTTAAATTTGAAGATCTGTTATCTTCCTCTTATGCTTCATCATCATCATCTACATCCAGAATTTTTGATAATCAGAAAAGTTTAATTGCTAAAGAATCAATAAAAATTCAAGATCAAATTAAAAATAGTAATATTAATTTCAATAGTAGTAGTAGTAGTAGCAGCAGCAGCAGCAGCAGCAGCAGCAGCAGCAGCAGCAGCAGCAGCAGCAGTAGTTATAATAGTATAGTTAGTAGAAATAATAATACTACTTCTAGCAGTAGTAGTAATAGTAGTAGTAGTAATGGTTCTGGTTTAAATAACACCAAACTTGATGATATCTTTGCTAAATTTTCACCATTTAATAATCATAGTAGCAAAGAAAAAAATAAAAATATTAGCAATAGCAATAACAATAATCCTTTTACTACTGATGCCTCATCACAAATTACAACTACCACTGGCACCACCATCACCAATAATAATAGTAGACTTATTGCATCATTTGACAACGACATTAACTATTTTTCTCAACCAATTGATGTTTTACCATATTTAAATACAAATTCAATTATAAATACAAACACAGTTGCATCAACATCACAATCACAAAATCAACAAAATCAAATTGTCCCAGTTAAAAGACAAATATATGATTATTGCAATAAACCATCAAATAATAGTAGTAGCAATAACAATAATAAGAAAAAGAAAGCATGGAAAGAAGCAAAAACCAATTATGTTGTAGTGTTGGATAGTGATGATGAAAAACCACAAGAAGTTAATAAATGTGATGGTAGTGTTGTTGATGTTATTATGATAGGCACTGAATCTAATCCGCTTATTATAACTGATTCCTGTGAGGAATTAGGCGGAGAATTAATAGAAAAAGAAGAAGAAATAGTTGTTCTGAGTTCATCATTGCCATTTACTAAAAATAAAATTGCTGCTCCTGCTAATCTAATTGCCGCTGCTGCAAATACAACTGCTGCCACTAATCTAATTACAACAACAACAACAACAACCACTGCTGTTACTATTACTACTAATAGTAGTAGTACTAGTATGTCTAACAACAATAACAATATTGAATCTGATGGGATTAATGGGATTATTTTTGAAAAAAGTGGTTCCAGTAATAATAATAATAACAATAATGATAACATCTTTGATGAATTTAATGATATTAATATGTTTACACAAGAATTTGTTCAAACAAATACAAATAGAGAAGAAGAAGATGATGATTATGATGATGATGATGATAGTCAAGATTTTACTAAATATGACCCATTTGATCAATTCATTACAGACCCATTAGAAGGACAATCATACTATAATTTTAATAACATCAGTAATAATAACAATAATAACAACAGTAATAATAGCAAGGACAATAATAATTCAGCATATTTTCAATATTCATTAGATGATCTATCAGATATATTAAATACAGATGATAACAATAATAATAGTCGTAACAGCAATAATAATAATAATTCAACATATCCATTCTCTGATGATGATGATGTCAAAAAGTTTTTGGAGAATATAAAAAATACACTTGAAATATATGATAATGAATTTGATTATAGAATTAAAAATGGATTCCCATTAAATTCAAAAAAATTAAAAGAAAAATGTAAAGAACCAGAACCAGAATCAATAGTTGTAGAAATTAACAATATTAATAATAACAATTGTAACAATAAAAAAGATGTCAGTGATGATAGTGCTATGGAATCGGGAGTTGAAATTGACACATCAAAATTGGAACCAATTGATAAACTTAGAAATTTGCAGTGTATAGATTTTCACCAAGGTAGTGGTGATGTTAATGAAATGGCATTTCATATTTCAAAGTTCAAAAACCACGAGGGGCCCAAACTTGCAATTGCTTACATAGCAAATCATGACCCAAAATATAATATGACAGGTAATCTACAATTATTTGATGCCAGGAAAGGAACTGTATATTACTTACAAGGACATTATGATCATCATACAGAAACTACAAATGAAAAATTATGGAAATCTGTCACAGATGTGAAATTTTCTCAGAGGGGAAAATTTATTTATTCCTGTTCCACTGATAAAAAAGTCATTATCTGGTCATCAATAGGTAAAGAAGATCAAATTTGCACTCCCTTGGCAACTGTAGAATGTGAAGATACTGTGAATCGAATTGCTGTTAAACATGACAAATCTAAGGTCACATATCAATTTGCATCATGTGACAATTCAGGCAGCATCACATGTTTTAGTTTGAATGCAGATGAAGGTAATTCTTATAAGCTAGATAAAAATATTTTGCAAATGAAAACAAAAATAACAACTGCACCACCTATTGTTGACATAGTTTATGGTGTTGACTATTTTGATCAGACTATTGTTGCTGGTTTTGAAGGAGTTGAATCACAAAAAGATGGCTTTATAAGGTTATGGGATATAGAAACAAAAAGAAAGTTAACTGACTATAAGATAGGAAGTAACAATAGTGTGAGTTGCTTGGGGATGTCAGCATCTGGATATCGGGTGGCATGTGGGGTGACATCAACTAGTGACCAAGTTAGAAGTGATGGAAATATACGTTTGATTGAATTAGCATCTAGTGAAAAGAAAATGTTTCAAACCAATGAATATGATTCAAATGTTATTGCATTTTCACCAGATGATCAATATATCGCATTGGGAGGGGTGGGGAATAAAGTTTGGATATTTGATACAAGATATGAAAATAAGCCACTTCGAATGCTTTCTCACATTACTCCAAATGATGGACTAATATATGAAGGAATCAATGGAATTCAATGGATTAATAGTAATATGATTTTAACTGGAGGTTCAGATGGTATTGTTAAGTTATGGAATATTAATAAGTCAGAGAATTCATCCACTTGTTTGAAATATGAATTCCCAGAACATGATAGTCCAATAACATGTATCAGAGCAGATGAGGATTTGAATTATTTATCAGTTGGTGTGTCAACAGGACGTGTTTATTTATACTCTACTGATCAAACTGTATTGAATAATAGGGACAATATTAGATTTTATTACCATAATGAATAGGAATTTGTCATTATTGAAAATATTATTTGAATATAAATATTTAAATCTAATTGCTGAGGCTCTATAGGTTGTTTGTTATATTGCTTAAAAGATTCATCTGCTGTTCTATTGGTCTTAATATTTAATTAGTTAATAATAATCAATTCACAATTCATTCAATTCGGCAATCTGGTAAAAATTTGAGCTATTTATTTTTTATTATATATACTTTACCATCCCAGTATTGAGTTTCACACAGTAAATTGAAATCATTTTTCCCTTTTAATAATGCATCAATTGTTGTGCATCAAATTCAAAAAATTCATAGATAAGTCGGTCAGCATATTTCAGGTGGTATCTGAGAATTGATCAGTGAATGTACACTGTCCCATCAAATTTTATTTTGTATTTTCTAAAGGGACTTGGGTAAAAATAATATTTTATTAAAAAAAAAGTAATAAAATATTTTGTTAAATTTATTTTTTTATATTTGAAATAATGTTTATTAGCTTTTCTAATATAATAATACAGTTCATTCTCCATAATGTCATATAAGTATTTTTTGTGCTATAGTATGTAAAATAATAGAGATGTTCATTAGAGAAAAATTAATAATAATAAAAGAGAAGTTTGTTATGGTAGAAGTTTTACTTAGTGTTTGTCTGTTATAGATAGGGAAAGTGAAATGTAGTCTTAACATACAGTCAAACCTCGTTATAACGATCATATTGGTTTGACCCCAATTATCCGTTATAACGAGGTATTCGCGGTGTAAAAAATATAAGGGGCGTGTCTTACGTTACACTACATATGTGTGACTAAAAATATGTGCAGAAAAAAATATTTGAAACAACTTTTCTTTTAACATTGTTTTATTATGCTTTACATTTTAAATATTATCCAAGAAAATATAATTTAATATTGTTTTGAATTAACTATTTTGAGATGACTTTCTAACATAACTAATGATGTTTCTTTAATAATAATATCTTTTTTTGTAATTTTAATATTGTGCTTTGAACAATTATAATTATTATAAATAAATGTAATTTTTACTATATAGTTAGTTACAAAAAAAA